CCCCGTAGCGTCCCTCTCCCTCCACCCGCCCCATCGCTCTCCCTTCCCTCCCAATCCACCCACAGCTCTGCCCCTCCCCAGCGGGCAGCACCACCAGACCACTACCCGCTGTTATAGTCAAAAATTCACCTAGGACCCTTCCCGCGCAGATCCCAGTCAGCACCACCAGCAGCAGCGGCAGCTCCATCACAGCAGAGGACAGCCTGGGTGTGTCTTGGCCTGATCTGGAGCATGCAGCTGGGACAGCGAGGTCCCCTGTGCCTCGCTCTCTGTCCTGGGCACTACTGTGAAGAGCATGGCAGAGGGGAAAGATCTCCCCCCACCACTTCCCCGCCCCCCCCAGTTCCGATATGTCCCTGCCCCCAGGGTCTCTGCTGTGCCCTCCGCCCTCCAGTTCCCAGCCACCTGCATTCCTCGCTGGGGGATCGAGGCCCAGATAGCAAACAGGTCGGGCCGGTTCTTCCGCAAAGCTCCAGGGCCCCGAAGGCTGGCAATGAAAATGCAGTAGCGGAGCTGGGAATGAGGACAATTCCCTCTGACCGGGGCGGAGAGAGCCCAAGACTCGCGGCCGTGCCCCTCTGAAGGCTGGGCCGGGCTCGCCCAGGGCCTGCAACCTTCCGTTCAAGCCCAGTCAGGCTCGCAAGAGTGGAGTGAACGTCCCCATGGCCGGGTTTCCTTGCGCGTTGCCTTGCTCCACCCGGCCCTCAGCTGCTGAGCTGACTCCCAGGGCCTTGTTGTTGCTCCCCAGGGGCCTGGAGCTGAACCCCACTCACCTGGGAAGGCAAGAGGCCGAGCTCCGGGCAAGGATCCCTGGCCTTTGTTCTGCGGGAGCATCACAATGGCCCCGTCTGGTCTTAAAAGCCCTGAAGTTGAGGGGGGGTTTGGCAGTGTCTTCATAGCCCCCCGTCCGCTCACACCCATTAAATGACCCTCGGCGATAGGAGGGTATCGCTGGTGGAGACACAGGGAGGTGTAGGACCAGCATGGTCAGAAGGACTCAGCACCCACCCCCGGGCCAGATTTTCAGCCCATCGGCTGCTCAGACCTTTCCGACATCTGTCCCCTCGTTAGGTGCCTGCAGTGGAGCGGGGCTCTTTGAACCCCTAGCCCATTGCGGGGGCGTGAACGTCTGCGCCCAGGTGCATTGTCCTCCGTCACCCAGCAGGGCGGCTGCGGAGGTAGACGTTGAACGCGCATCTCCCGAGTCCCAGTCCAACGTCTGGGCTGCCAGGCCACCTGTCCTGAACCCACTCCAGCTTCAGCCTTATTCGATTGGGGTTAATCTCTAGAGTGGACAGACCCAAACCCACCCATCCTTCCACGCCAGGTCCGGTTCAACTCCAGCTCCGAGCGTTATGCCTCAGGCCTCTGATTACAAACAGAACCGGGGTGATTAGTGGATGGAGAGCGCTCTTCATTCATGCATTTCACAGTGTTTTACACAGATGGGTCAACAGCGTTATGCCCATTTTATAGATGGGGAAACTGAGGCACAGAGCCTTCCAGAGCTGACGTTCCCAAAGTGGGCTCTAACTCTGAGTGGCTCAGTATTTGAGCCTCATGGCTTCGAGTGGGCACCTCTGCAAGCCAGGCCCTCTACGTGTCCAACACTGGGACCCCAAATTGGAGGCACCTACATTTAAAGGCCACTTTTGAAAACTTTGGCCCCCCCATGACTTACCCAAGGTCACACAGTGAGCAAGTAGCAGAGCCTAGGTGGTGCCTTTATCCACTGCATCGTGCTGCCTTATGGGCTTTAGAGCTGTACTGTGCCCGCGTCGGCGACAGGCTGATTCCTATCTTGTCCCACTCCCTTCTGGGCGTGTTTGCCTTCCCCCTCAGCTTCCACACAGCATTCCTGCCATTCCAGAGAGCGCAGAAATCACTCCTCCAGAACGCGGTGTGAGGGCCACTGCCCCCAGTTCCGGCACTGAGGTGATTACCTAGAGACAGGTGGATCTGTTTGAAGGGTAATTAGGAGCGAGGAGTGTACAAATCACCAGGGAAAGGAAGCTCTCTGGGCCAGACTGCATTTTCAGTGACTGGAGAGTAAAGCGGGGCTGGGGGCGGGGTTTCCGATGACATCAAAATGTTCCCTAAGGAAAATCCTGCCCCACAGAGATCTTTGGGAATTTTGCCCCTGACTTCAGTGGGGCCAGGATTTCACCCTAGATGTATAAATTGGGGCCACTCATTTAATCCCAGATATTTTGGGTGGGGTTTTTGGGGAGCATTTTTGTCAGAGAGAGGGATTTATGGGGCCAAAGGAACCAGTATCTGCTCCTCTCTTTAGAAGGCCCCGTCCTTGCACTGTTCATTCAATAACTACCGTGGCTAGAAGCCAGGCCTTGCCCCTTGTGCGCAGAACCCGGGCAGATGCACACTGCCCATGCAATAAGACATGAATGCACTCAATATAGACAGCAGGTTTCCAGACAGCAAAGCCAGATCTCTTGACACGTCTCTATTTCCACTGAAACGTCATTTCAACACGCTAAACCACTTAGTCCTTAATTCCAATAAGCAACTTTAAGATCTCCGGCGGGTTTCCATTTTTTGTCCCCCGAATTCACCTTTCTTGCCATTAGATTTGCCTCCAGCTTACAAACTGTACCTCGTTCTTTGCTGTTCCTCGTTACGGGACTGCAGGGCCCAATTGGCAATGGGCTCTGCCCCCATTGACTTCCGCTGTAAAATGGGGCTAATGCTACCGCCCGCCTTTGGAAGGTGCTTTGGGCTTTACTGATGGAAAGTGCTAGCTGAGAGCGCGGTGCTATTATCACAATCAGGCAGTGGGACTCTGTGCAGGAGGAAGGTGAAAATCAGCATAGCTTCAATATGGCGATTTACACCAAGTGATCATCTGGCCCCTTGCCTCCGTTTGGGATCTAGGGGTAACTTGGATTCCTGTTACCTTAGCCCCAGGAGAAGCACATAGGCTAGCAGACCCATGCAGTGTGCATGAGGCCAGCTCCCACTCTACAGCTCCCACACTGGTTGTCTAGGACCAGTTGTTTTCCTAACAGAACGCTGGGTCCCGTCTGCTCTCTATAGTAATGGTTGCTGGGTTAGCTCCAGCCTCAGACCACAGGCTGGTGTCCACCTAGAAACATCTGATAGCAGTCTTCAACTACCTGAAGGGGGGTTCCAAAGAGGATGGATCTAGACTGTTCTCAGTGGTGGCAGATGACAGAACAAGGAGCAATGGTCTCAAGTTGCAGTGGGGGAGGTCTAGGTTGGATATTAGGAAACACTTTCACTAGGAGGGTGGTGAGGCACTGGAACGGGTTCCCTAGGGAGGTGGTGGAATCTCCTTCCTTAGAGGTTTTTAAGGTCAGGCTTGACAAAGCCCTGGCTGGGATGATTTAGTTGGTGTTTGTCCTGCTTCGAGCAGGGGGTTGGACTAGATACCTCCTGAGGTCCCTTCCAACCCTGATAGTCTATGATTCTATGTACATGCTGGGCTCCCCCATTCACATTCACAACCATAACCCCCTCAGCCAACACCCCCCCACCCCAAGCACTAACCAGGCGGGGGCAGCCAGGCAGAGCTAAGCAGCAAGGTGATGGCAAGAGATGTAGGGAAGAATCAGCTCTACCAGCAGCTCTAAGACCCATTTCCCATAGGAAACAATAAAGAGCCGTGGGTCGTACACAGCCTGGTTGGGGACACAGCTAGGGCATGCCAGACGGCTGCACGGGGCGACCATGGTGTCCTCTGCTACTCATCATCACAGCGCAGCAGAAGGACCCTCCGGCAAGGAGCACCGCGGACTTGGTGGGACTCAGCAGCGCAGTGTCCTGCTGCCAAGGGCTGCTCCCAGGCAAGGCCGGGGGAGCTCTGCCAGTGAGCTTGCTGGCATTGGGCAGTGGCCCGCCTTTGCCACGTGATACATTTGTGTGCCACGAGTCACTGCTTGAAGGACCCCTGAGCGCCGTTCAGAGGCTTGGCTGACATATATACAGGGTCAGTCCCCAGCTAATAACAAACCATCGGCCCTGGCCTGGGCACTATAGATAATTGGAGAGAACCTGGATTCTCTGCCGCACGGCCAATCCAGCTAATACCAGGCTCACCCCAAAGGGCTCCCAGCGCCGGCCGGGTCCAGCTGCAAGCTGTACAGGCGTCCAACCCCCCTTTCCCTGCCAGTGGTGCTGCTCCAGTCCTGGGCCCCCATCCAGGCCTGCCACTGCACCATGCTAATGACTTGCATCATTCCCTGCTCTCATCAGTCTCCCCGGCTTTGCAGGGAAGGTTTGGGGTCAGTTCTTATTGTATTCAAGCCGCCTCTTGCCCCCTCGGGTGGGATCGGGATGCACAGGGCTCAGAAAGGCTGCCGCGGCTGTAGGAGGAGATCGCATTGTATTTGAAAACACGGCCTGTGCTGTTATAAATTGGCCCCTCACTGCCCAAGGCTCAGATCCCTCAGCTTCAGCAGGGGTCTGGCTGGTCTTTTCGACTGTAAGCGCCTCAGGGCAGAGACTGTCCTCGGTTCTGGGTACGTACAGCACGTGGCCCAAGGGGGCCGAGGCCTGAGGCGCTGCCGCTACACCAATCATCAATAAAAACGAGTCACCTCCAGCATTAAAGAAACAAAATCTCTCCTCCGCCGGTTCCGCCCCCTTGTAACCAGCATCATAAGGCCTCTGGGCTCTAGCATTGGGCCCCGATTCCCAGCAGGCACTGCAGAACCGCTCCCGCCACTAACCCCCACGTGTTCCGTTCAAAGACACCGCGAGTGACGTGCAAAGGAGGAAGCTCAGGGCAACAGGAAATGCAGCGGGTGGGGGTGAGCAAGAGGGACTCTGCTAGGGCCAGACAAAAGACAATGGAGGTTTCGGTCAGGCCTGTCCTGCCACATTACAAGAGCTCCTCCGCTCTCCTCACCCCTTGTCTGCTTTCAGCTCAGACAGGTACTGCAGCATTGGAGGAGTTTCTCTGCTTTGCCCCCCCTCCAGCTCAGACCTATACTGTCACTGTGGGAGTTAATCTATCTTATCTCCCCCACGTTGGGCTCCCCAGCTCAGACCTGTCCTGCGGCATTACACGAGTGCCTGGCCGTCTTCATCTCCCATTCGGCGGCAGGGCAGGGCCCCCATTTTACAGACAGGGGAAACCGGAGCATCAGGCTAAGCAGTGATTTGCCCAAAGACCTCCCAGCTAATCCGGGGCAGGGCAGGGCTGGGGAGAGCTGCCATGGTGGCTGATTGCCCGGTGCCGGGATCTAACCGCAAACCCATCCCCGAGCGAAGGCTGCTGTAGCATCGGTGCTCAGCACCTGAGCCTTTCACACGGGCTCCCCCCACCCTCCAGCCCGCAGCCCTCGGTGGTTTGCAGCCTAGTGCTGGTCACTAGCGTCTGGCTGCACAATGTCCAGTGGAGGCCAGCCCCACGCTGAGCGGGTGGGGGAGAGCCCCCAGGCTGTTCCACACACGCTAAATACCGTCGCATTCATGCACAATAGCCCAGAGCACGGCTGGAAGCGCAAGATGCCGTCCCCACGGTAATTATTGACCCAGCTGGTCTCACAACCCAGTGCGTCAGGAAAGCATCATCTACGGGGATTGTCACCTTGCCCGGAGGCGCTGCGGCTGGATGAACTCTGCCCGGGTTTCCGTTCTTTAGCGTGCTGGGGGCTATTCCCCTGCGGCCACGGACCTGCTCTGCGACCGTGGGCAAGTCGCTCTCCCTGGTCCGTGCCTCAGTTTCCCCAGCTGTAAAGCAGAGAGGACGCTAGCACCCTCCTCTGTAAAGCGCTTTGAGATCTACGGGTGAGAAATGCCACATAGTGTCACTGTCCTCTGCTGTGCTGTTCTGTTCCCCCTCCCTCTTCCAGCTGAGGACTTCCACCCCTTGAGAAAGATTTTACCCTGGCCTTAGCCCATCTCAGCAGACTTGTCAGAGCTCAGAACGGACTCCAGTCGCTCTCCTCCCTTGACTCGGTCCCTAGCAGCTGCCCCTCAACCCCTGGGGCAAGCTTCAGGAGTCCCACTGCTAAGTCAACTCCTCCCCCTAGTCTCTGCTGCCAGCGATCTCTCCAGCACAGAGGTGGAGCGTGTGCCAGGGAATAACACTGGTTTCATCTCTGTTCTGCCCGTCCCATACTGGTCCCCAGAGCAGGGCAGGGAGCCAGGAAGGAGGAACGTGGTAGGGGGGGAAGGAGGGACAGGGCTGGCTCCAGCTATCATTCCCTCTTCCCCCCACAAATCCCTTCCCCACAACGCCCCCCTAGCAGCTCCCTCATAATCCAGTCGTGGTGGTGCAAGGACAGGGCAGGGCTCTGAGGGTTAACATAGGTTCTCTCACCCAGTTAACCCAAGAACGAGGCAGGATGTGAGCAAGACCCTTAGCCTCAGTAAATCTAAAGCCCCGGTCCTGCAACCACTTACACACATGCTCAGCCGAGCTCAGGAGTTGTCCCGTAACTGGCTCAGACCAGTGGTCCATCTCGCCCGCTCTCCCGTCTGGGATCACTCCAGGGTAAGCACAGGCACGGCGGCAGGCGTGGGGTACTCGCCAAGCCAGGAGGAAACAGGTTAAGAGCTGGATTACCTCTGAGCTGAGCTGCCCTGGGCCTATCCCCAACTCTCATGGAATCTAGGAGCCATCAGCTGGGAGGAGACGTCAGTTGCATTGCGGTAGCAGTGAGGAGGCCCAGTTGTGGACGGTGCTAGGCCCTGTACAAACACGGAGCAAAGAGCTTATCGTCCCCTGCATCATTTGTGCAAACAATTGCCTGGAGCTGCGCAGAGCCTGCTGCTCTCAGAGGACGTACGCCAGCCCTCACTTGGCTGCACCCTGACCCCCCTACGGGGACAGGAGGTTGGAACAACACACACAGTACTTGGTGAACTTGCTGCTTGGTTAGTTCCTTGTTCCCTCGCACTGACCTTTTAAAACGCCCCCAGCGTGTTTATACCGAAACGGGCCACCCTGGTGCCTGGCCCTGGTTTACCTTTAGCCACCAGGCCGTTGCTGGTTTGCTGCTTCTCTCTCCCTGGCGTCCTTTCGCCACATTCCTCCAAACTGGTCTCTGATGAAATTCAAACCGAGCTAAGACCGATGGCCCAGCTCCCCAGAGGTAGTTAGACGCCTGGCCCCATTGATTGCAACGAGAGCGAGGCATCTAAATCTCTTTGAGTATCTGGGCCATCTGCACTAGGGGGTGGCCTGGATTTAGTTACATTGGTACAACTTTTGGGTGTGGACGAGGCTGTGCACAGGCTCCCGCCCAGACACGAGGCCGTAACTTTAGGTCAGTTACAACCATGGTCTGAACTCAACCCAGCTCCCCAAAAGCCAGGCAGTGTGTATCCTACTGAGCCACCCACTGCTTCTTCCAAGCTCGTGAAGTATTGAATCGATGTCTCCAACGGATTCATGATTCAGCAGCTTGGACAAGCACCAGCCCAGCTCCCTACGAGTGAGAAATCAGACTTGTTCACACTTGATTCAATGCCCAGTCACAACTCTACTTCTCGCAGCACCAGAGAGAGCAATGCCAGGCAGCCTTCTCAGTGGGGAGCCGCTCTGAAGGCCCACGCTGTGTAAGGACGTCACCAGTGCCCACGCAGTTTCAAGGAGAAGCAAACCCAAGTGCCTGGTCCCAGAGCAGGCTTAATTTCCTGCAGCTTTACTGCTCTTCTTGGGTGAACATCCTGGAGGAGGCTTCATAGTAGTTGGAGTCTTCTCTGCTCCAGCTAGAGCAGGGCTAATGGCCGAGAGGGAAGGGGCGTCCAAGTTAGGACATGAGCTTGCTTGGATGCTTAAGAACGAGGAAGTGCTCCAGCTCTCTTCAGGGCATTCGGGACTTTTGAGGGTTGAAGAAACAATTCAACCATCTGCATTTTTCTGCGCTTGTCCGAACAGTTCATCTGGGAGCCTGCTACACTGAAGACCTGGGCACCACTACAGGTGCTGACCTAAGACAAACTATTCCCATGGTGCTTAGGGAACTGCAGCGACAGGGTTGATGGCCACCGGCTGCACAGATGGGGCCTTTCATGCTCGACAAGACCCTGAGCCCCTGGGTTACATAAGGCACAATTAGAGCTTTGGTCTACACTGGAAACGTACAGCGGCACAGCTGTGTCTGTGGAAAAATCCACACCTCTGCCGACCGAACCCCCAGTGGAGACAGACGAATTCTTCCATAGACCTAGTTACTGCCTCTGGGGGAGGGGGGTTAAGTATAGCACCGGGTAGCAGCTGAAGTGTAGACATAGGGCACGTCAACACCACTACAAAATTAAGTCGACCTAACATACAGCCGCCGCAGTAATTACATCGCTTCTGAGCGTCCACACTTCGCCCCTCGTGTTGGCCACGTGTGTCCTTGCACCGACTGAACTATGTGGGACGGCATCTGAAAGCTAGCACCAGTCAACGTAAGCAAGGCCGTGTCCACACGGACACTGCATCGACCTTGTCTCCATGCCTCTCGGGGAAGTGGAGTTATTAAGGGGGCAAGTGACATTTTAGTGTAGACATAGTTAGGTTGATGTAAGCTGCCTTGTGTAGCCCAGAGCTTAGCCTTACTAACTTGACTAAGCCCTGGCTGGGATGATTTAGTTGGTGTTTGTCCTGCTTTGAGCAGGGGGTTGGACTAGATGACCTCCTGAGGTCCCTTCCAATCCTAATCTTCTATGGGCTGGTCTACACCCAGCCGCTAGTTTGGCGGCTGGGGATCGAAGTTCTGGGTTCGACTTATCGCGTCTGGTCTGGACGCGATAAGTCGAACCAGGAAGTGCTCGCCGTCGACTGCGGTACTCCAGCTCGGCGAGAGGAGTACCGCGGAGTCAACGGGGAGCCTGCCTGGCGCGTGTGGACCGCGTCTGAACCGCGGTAAGTTCGAACTAAGGTATGTCGACTTCAGCTACGTTATTCACGTAGCTGAAGTTGCGTACCTTACTTCGACTTGGAGGGTTAGTGTAGACCAGGCCTATGATTCTAACTTACTCCTGCCTGGAAGGGAAGACACTTACTCCTCCTCAATTAACACGTTAATGCCTGCCCGGCCCCATTGCTGGAGTTGAAGGGAGGATGCTGGGAGGACTAAGTACAGGAGAGCATGCTGTAGTAATACCACCTAGGCGCCAGCACTTCCCTTCTTTTGATCACTGTTGAGTGTTTCACCTAGTCTGGTGGGCCAAACCACTTCAAGCCAGCGTTCAGGTCACTACATCACTCCCTGAAGGCTCAAGCTGTGTTTCGCTTCATACCTCCCTTCCTACCCAACTTTAGAGCCTGCTATGTTCCTTATGCAGGGGCAGGGCCCCTGGTTTTGTTCAACCAGAAGCTGCAGGTGGGGAGGGGTTTTCTGGCTGTCACGTGCTACCCTGTCTCACCTGGGGACTGCTGCCGCTCCTGTTGGACAGCTCTGTAATGCTGTAGGACGGCACAAATCTAAACAGATCCGAGGAGGGTGGGGAATTGACCACAGCTCCTAGACTCTGCTGCTGGGGAATGACACGCCCCTCTCTTTCCTCGAGACCTGCGGCACTATCTGCAAAGCCTCCACCAGGAAAGGCACAGCTTGCATTGTGCAGCAGACAACCTCGCTACTCCGAATTAGACAACAGCACCATGAAAGGGAGGTCCCAATGACCAGAGCCCATCCACGGACTCCAGGAACTGTCCTTCCCCTTGGCAGGATTGCTTCTGCGGTATCCCTGCCACACTGGCTCGCAGCTGGCCCTGCTGTGGCAGGACAGGTAGCCACCACCATCTTTAGCAGAAGAACAGTAGGCTTGGCTCTCTCCAGCGTTAGCCAAGCTCCAGTGAAGGACCACGTATCAGAACAAAAAAAGACTAAAGCATCAGACACAAGAGATTCCTTCAAGGCTAATGACAACTCTCCATAGCAATGCAGCGTTTATTAGGAGCACAGCACATGTATTAAATCAGCTACCCGGGGACGTGGGGGAGAAAGGACGCACTCGGAAGTGTCTGAGCAGAGCCTCGGTGGATTAGCCAGAGGAGGACAGACATTTCTGGCCACTCGTTGCTGATCCAGAGCCAGCAAGCCGTCCCTCTACGCAGCGAGGGAGCAGGACTGGGACTGCCCCAGTGCTTCGAAAGCGAGTTGATCAGCCACCTAGGGAACACATCCCGAGCATGCCCTGGCTGCAGCAGGAGCGCTCCGGCGTCACGCCCGAGACCCCAGCATCAGGACCCTTTGCTTATACAAAAATAACCTGCTCTCCAGAAAACAGACTGTACAGAGCACGTGACCCCCAAATCCAATGTTATTGCTCAGAACACGACAAGTGATTAGAGACAGGAACTTAAGGCAACAGGAATAAGTGCACTAGCCGCCCGCCAGAGGCCTGAGTGGGCATTCGCCGTGCATTGCACAGCCGGAACGCGGAGCCGGGACCGAGGCGAGTTACTGTCTCAAGCAGGCCTCGGTGACGCCCTGAGCCGCCAGCTCCGCCAGCACGTTGTCCAGGTAGTTGGGGTCGGGGTAGCCGTGGCCGCTGAGGTTGGTGTCCATCTCCGTCTTGTGGTGGATCTCGTTCCACACCACCGTGTTGCTCTCGCCGGTCGTGCTGGAAGTGCCCACGGTGAAAATCAGCCGCCTCTTCCAGGCCACCCTCAATAGATCCAGGACCTAGAGACGGCAAAGAGGAAAGCTCGATTATCTACCCAAGTCCAGGGCCCATTTCCCTCCCTGCAGTTCCCTCCTTTCCCAGGCTCTACGGCCACATGGTGGGAGCGCTGCCCAAGTGGTGAAGGCAGCATGGCCTAGTGGTTGGGGCACCAGGTTGTGAGTCGGGAGCCCTGGGCTCTATTCCTGACCTAGCTGGCGCAGATCACGTCCCCTCTCTGGTCCCGAGTTTCCTGGCTGTACAATGCGGGGAAATGACACTTAACCCCTTTCGCCTGAGGATCTCAAAGCACTCTGCAAAGGTGGGTAAGTATCAGTATTAATGACCCGCAGCACCAGCAGGCCGACTTCCTTCCCTCCCAGAGAGGCAGGAGACGCAAGCCCTGCTCCCTCTGGATCTATGCAATATCCTCCATTTCTAGACAGGTGTCAATCCTCAACAGTTACCCGTAGAGGAGACAAGGAGGGGGCGGCGTCTGGATGAACTCCAGGGGGCAGATTTCTCCAGTGACATAGCCGGTTAAAATCTAACTGGCTGGAGCCCTGCAGTCCCACGAGGGAACCCCGGGTATTCAGGTTGGAAGGAATGCTCCTAGTCCATCCCCGGTATGGGTACAAGCTAGCACCAGGGTATTAACCAAGGAGACATGGAGATTCCAGCGCCTCCCTTATCAAACTGCTCCCTTTACCCAACTGTCCTTGCAGTTACCAATGGGACCCACCCTGCCAGATACTGTGTGCCAACACCCATTTAACTCAGTGGAAGTCCAAGGCACTCAGCCCCTTGCAGAAAACACTTCATGCCTCCTACGATCAGGACTAGCCACGGACTAAGATTGCAAGTCGCTTGTGGTTTGCAAACTTAAGAGCCACCACATGAATTCAGTTACTGCACCGACAGGGAGTGAGGGCATGGCTCTTGTAAGACTTGAATTAAGTCCATTCAGCCCCACTGGAAAAAGGCCAGACTCCGGTCAAGTGCCGGTTACTGGCAAGTCCTGATCCAAGCGGTGTCTTGGCATTACCTTTCTGCCCTTCTCGTTATCGGGAAGGTAACAGTACCGGGGAAAGCCTCTGGCAGTGTATGGCATCCCTGGGTTGGGGTGCTCCGGCCCCTGCAACAGATAAAGGCAATCAATCAATTCTGTACCAATGCCGGCTCCTTTCACAGGCTGACGGCACTGACTGATTTTTCCAACAAGGTGTGTGCAGGAGAACAGAACTGTGTAGACCTGCCCCCTCCCTGCTGCACCAAGTCCTGGGGGGGGGGGTTACCCCCACCACGATCCTCCTCCTGTTGCACCCCCAAGACTTGGGGAAAATGGGGCATAACCCCCACCCCCCCACCTGATCCTCCAAGTCCCTCTTGCTGCTCTGAGTCCTGGGATGAATGGGGCTGTTTTCCCGCATCCACCCTCTTCCCAGGCTTGGAGGAGAATGGGGCACGAGCCCCTCCCTGACATACTGACCTGTGCCTGTCCCCCATCTCCACCTGCCTTATGCTACCCTGCCATCTCGGCCCTGCACTTCAAATCTACACCCGCACCCTGCCGTTGGCTGCCGACCGGCCAGCCGCACCGCTCTGGCACTCCCACTGACAGAGCAGAGGGCAACTACATTCCCAGGATCTGTGCGCCAGCCACACGTCGGGCTCACTCGGCGACTCACAGCGAGAGAGGGGTGGATTCTGGGCACTGCCGTTTTCAGGCAGGATAGTATTATGAAATCAGGGGCTGGAGTTATTGGAGTTGGAAACAGGAGTCTCCCTGACATACCAGGAGACGTGGGTCACTCTGACCTCAACACACCGCTGCTTGGGGAAAAATAGGGGCTTGGCTACATTTTGGACGATTCCGGGAGTGGGATTTCTAATGCCCGATAACGTGTTGCGCATTAGTCCATGCAGACCCCGCTGGAGTGCACTACAAAGTTCCCGTAGCTTGTAGCGCGCACCAGCAGGATCTACATGGACCAGCTAACGTGCAACGTGCTTTAGAGATCACATCCCTGTAGTCCGCATTAGGGACCGGTGAAGACAAGCCCTAAGGATCTGAATCCAACCGTTGCAGCTCGGCCAGGTCTGGTTTACAAACCGAACCACCTGAAGTGTGCGCAGGGATCGATTCTCCCCAGCATGACCCTTGGGAGAGCAGTCACACCTGTGGAGAGTGGGAGGAAAGCCTATTTTGCACAGACGTTAATGGCTACATAAGGGGAAAGGCAGTTGGGGAAGTGCGGGGGGGGGGAAGGGGAGGGCCTGCCTGGAGATCCATTTTTGGGGGGGGGGAAAATTTAAGTCCAAGATAGGCAGCTTACGAAGCCGCCCCACAATGCCGTTTGCATGACATTAAGAGTTTCCATTGTCCACCTGGTTATTCAGGCCCGCCAGCCAAAACACCGGTTTGCGGGTGTCTCATCTGTACAGCGTCAACGGCTCAGCACACCAGGTGGCCTCTCTGCTGCGAGTGAGAGCACAGGCTGACCACCTGGGAGACCTGGGTCCAGCCAAGCTTGGTTACTTGCTCAGCTATGTGACCTCGGGCAAGCCGTGCCTCAGTTTCCCCATCTGGGAAAGAAGGGTTCATCTCTTCTCAACATCCTTCCATTGAGGGTTTTTCTATTCTCACTCGTCACCGTAATATCTGAGCACCTAAATTAGCAGCGATGGCTAAGTCTCCGGTGGACTTCCTGGAATCTCCGGTGTTTCTCCCTTTTCAAGGTGAAAAAGCCCAACGCTGCTGCTTAGGGCAGGACGCAAGACAGGTGAAAATAGTTCCTGGCTACACAAATGCCACATGTCAACCAGGCTAAGCAGCCCCCACAAGGTATAGTCTCTCAACGGATCATTATGGGAGTCCGAGTGATGAAGGGAGCCTTGTCAGTGCATTCTTAACCGTAAGTGTATGAATCGAATGCCCCACACAGCACAGAGGTAGTTAGTACATAGATGGATTTACAAGTGTGTTAACAAGCTCTTTGGAAAAAATGTAGCGCCCAGATCCCCTGGGATCTTCCATTAGATAAACCCAAAATTGGGGTAGGTAAGAGGAGTTAAGGACATAGGACTAGAAGGGACCTCCTGGGTCAGAGGCTAGTCTCCTGCTATCAACCCCCATCATATAATCCCAGGCAGAAATTTATCAAGATCCAGCTTAAAATAAGTTCTGTTTCTGGCCTCCACTAATCCTACGGGGAGGCTGTTCCGGAACCTCACTCCTCCGATGGTTCAAAACCTCCTAATTTCCACCCTAAGCTTAGTCATGTTCAGTTTATCCCCATTTGCTCCTCTAGCTTCAATCTCTCTCCTCCTCCCTCCCTGTGGTCCATGAGGATCTGAAGTGGTCTAATCCAGGGGTGGGCAAACTTTTTGGCCTGAGGGCCACATCGGGGTTCCAAAACTGTATGGAGGACCGGGTAGGGAAGGCTGTGTCTCCCCAAACAGCCTGGCTTCCGCCCCCTATCCACCCCCTCCCACGTTCCACCCCCTGAATGCCCCCCTCAGAACCTCGGACCCATCCAACTCCCCTGCTCCTTGTCCCCTGATCGCCCCCTCCTGGGACCCCTGGCCCCTAACCGCCCCCCCGGGACCCCACCCCCATCCAACCCCCCCTTCTCCCTGTCCCCTGACTGCCCCGCCCCCTGACAGGCGCCCCGGGACCTCCTACCCCATATCCAATACCCCCTGCTCCCCACCCCCTTACCATGCCGCTCAGAGCGCCAGGGCTGGCAGCCGCGCCACCTGGCTGGAGCCAGCCACGCTGCCGCGTAGTCTAGAGCACTGGAGCGGGCCGGCGGCTCTCGCAGCCTCACTGCCCGGTAGGAGCTCGCAGCCCGGCTGCCCAGAGTGCTGGCGGCACGGCGAGCTGAGGCTGCAGGGGAGGGGGGACAGCAAGGGAGGGGCTGGGGCTAGCCTCCCTGGCCGGGAGCTCAAAGACCGGGCAGGATGGTCCCGTTGGCCGGATGTGGCCCACGGGCTGTAGTTTGCCCACCTCTGGTCTAATCCTTTGGAGCCCAATCCAATCTCTCTCTCTCTTTTTTTTTATTACCACAAGCGTTGTGACACGAGTTCCACCGCGGCAGACATTAGCTTTAGCTCATGGTTCTGTTTGTTAGGCGCATGACGACAGAACCTAGGTGTCTCAGCCAAGGAGCAGGGCCTGTACAGACAGAACCGGAGCTGACAGCCGCCCACGTACCTGAATTCCCCTGCTAATGGAGTACACGATCTGTATCGTCCCACAGTCCTGGTGGCCGGGAAGGGACTGAGTGAAAGTTGAAACCTCCATCTTCCCTTTCGGCTGAGTGCCGGTCTTTTCGCCATAGATGGTTTTACAGGAGGGGCACTGCAGACTGCCATCCTGTGGGTGAAAAAGGGCCCCCGTGAGCGGGATTTCATGACAGCCGTGAGGACACTGGCATTAGTATCTGTATTGCCGTCCCGGGCCCTACTCATGGGTCAGGACCCCGCCGTGCTAGGTCTCGTAGGGAAGAGTGGGCCGGGCCGGCGCAGTACCTTGTTCCCGTTGGCGTACATGGCCAGCACACAGAGCAGGTGGAAAGCGTGCTGGCATTTGGTCAGTTGCCCCACCGCTTCCGGCTTGATTGTCTTGCACTCACAGGCATCGCTGTAGCCAGAGGGCGACGCCAGCTTTTCCATACAGATGATACAGTCCTTGAAACAGAGCAAGAGGAGACGCCATTTACCGTCAGCATCGAACATTAGCTTTGTTGATGCATCAGCTTGCCAGAGAGAGACCATTTAGAAATTATCTTCAGTGGCATTAAAACCCCACTTTGAAGTCTGAGGAAGTCTCTGCTCCCCCCACCCCCCGAGCTTTTACCTGTTGTGAAAACACTGATTCTTCTAGTTTATTTGACTTGTCTATCAGTGTGATCTCTAGAGGCCTGTCCCTATAATCTAATAATAAAAGTATTTCTACAACTCCTCCCATCCTGAAGGATCCCAAAGTCCTATACAGTAACTCCCCACTTAACGTCCTCTCGCTTAACGTTGTTTCGATGTTACGTCCCTGCTCCATTACAGAACATGCTTGTTGAAAGTTGTGCTTTGTCCACGGCTGGCAGCCACCCCCCCACCCCACCCCCATCAGCTCCCCTACGCCCTCGACCCCCAGCACCTCCCGCCTGCCAGCAGACTCCGTGGATCAGCGCCTTCCCCCTCCTCCCCCCGCCTCCTGCCCGCGGCAATCAGCTGGTTTGCGGTGTTCAGGAGGCAGGGGAGGGAGGGGGGAGGCTGCGCACCGCATCCTTGCTCCTCCCCCCAGCCTCCTGAATGCCACCAGACAGCTGAGTGCTGCATGCAGGAGGTGGGGGGAGGAGGGGGAAGGCGCTGATCTGCGGGGTCCGCTGGCAGGCGGGAGGTGCTGGGGGGGGGGGGGGGAGGGGGGACATAGGGGGGCTGGTAGGGGGAGCTGCCAGCCGGTTTAATACTGGTTTTAAATTGCATGTTTAAAATGTATATAATGCCTTTTGTCTGACCAAAAAAATGTCCCTGGAACCTACCGCCCCCCGCCATATTTACATTAATTCTTATGGGGAAATTGGATTCACTTAACATCGTTTTGCTTAAAGTCGCATTTTCAGGAACAGAACTACAACGTTAAGTGCGGGGTTACCGTACATACACCCTGAAATCCTACCAACTAACGAGTGCCCAGCCCAAGCGGGGCTAGCATCGAAAGGTTACACCCTGGAGTTGTTGGTGAAAGGTGGAAGTGGGGGGACGAGACAGTTTTTGTAGCTACGGGATGAGAGCGCCCTGGAAAGCTGGGCCAGCCCAATCTGAGAGCGGGGTTTGCTAGTTGGTCTCTGTCCATGAGCAGCCTACTCCTTTACAGATTAGAAGAAGCCAAACCTCTTCGTACTTGAGTATTAGGCTAAATAAGGAGGCAGCCTTGTATAAACTTCCTATCTCAAGAAGCAGCGTGTATCCCTCCTCAGAGCTCCTGGAGCCAAAGCGGACTCGGGGGCACTGAAATGTATTTTGTTAGCTGCTGAGCAAGGCAGTTTTCCCCGTGAGATCTCTGCAGGCAACATGCATTTGAGATGCAAATATTCTGCAGAGAGGTCCTATTGCAGCTGTCTCCTCCGAGCATTAGAGTCTGCACATGGGACCCTCTAAATAAATGTCCCAGCCTTTTGGGGCACTTTTACCAGCCTAAGGTCCCAAAGTCAGCACCCACCACTGCCTCCCATTCGTTTGGGTGCTTCCTAACAGACAGGGAGGTTTGGGCTGCTTCAAACTCTGGCTGTGGTGGAGTCTCGCTCCAGTTCTCTCTCTCTCTCTCTCTCTCTCACACACACCCCGTGGTGTCCCAGGGTAGGAACAGGGACCCTGGAGTGTCACTCACATGCATTTTTTGGTACTGTCTGAGAGCTCAAGGCAGCTTACAGGCCTTGCAGATACAAGATATTCCAACCAACAGGCCTTTATTGTTGACAAGACTGTTAACAGGGGGTCCATTGGGAAGTCATCTATGGGCCAGTTCCTCAGCTGGTGTGTGTGTGTGAGCGTAGTGTCCGTGACGTGACCAGCTGAGGATCTGGCGAACAGTCTAAAGAACTGTGTAGGTTTCACACGAGCCTTTCCCAATATGCAGTAAGGTGGCCTCTTATCCAGCCCACAACTGCTTTCGTTTCTTCCGTTCTTCCCCCCTTTGGGGGAAAACGCTGTGGTCAGAGACTCCTGTGATTCCTCGCACTCACCTCATCAGCGGGGGCTCCTCTCAGCTCTTCCAAGTATTTCCTCACCACCTGCTCAGGCTCGCTGGGGGTCACTGAAGAAGGGGAGGGAAAAAAAAAAAAAAAAGCCCATAGGGAAATAAAGATTCCAGAAGGTACAACATGAGCGAGAGACGGCTGAGGAGGGAGGAAAGCGAAGCAGTGGCAGGCCGGCCTGCCGAGGAAAACGGTTAAGGGTTAGAGTTGGAGCAAGTTAGTTCAGCAGGGGCCATTCTGACTGGTCAGCGCTACTCTACTGAGGGCTCAGATGCTACGGGTGCAGGAAATGTGTCGATCTTAAGGCCAAAACAAGGGACCAGTGCTCACATAGTCAGACGTCCTGCAAAACACAGGCCAGAAAATGTCACCCGGTAAATGCCAAAGAGATAAAGAATCGGGTTGTAAAAGCTACCACTGCACGGGGCGAACAGCCGCTGCTCCATCTGAAGTCAATGGGAGCTGCGGATGCTCAGTCAATCTGAAGCAGACCTCAGGATCCTCTCTAGTCTGCCGATACTTTGCTGTCCTATGCTCTCCCCTCATACTAGACACTGGCTCCTTTCAAATACCAGTATTTTGCTGCCCGGTGTCTCAAGGACCATACACACTGCAATGGTGGAAGAGTGTCATGGATCCTACATCATTAAAAAAAAGCAGCACACGGACACATACTATATAGATCGTACATATTTAGTCTGAAAACCATTATCTATATGCACTAGGGCTCTCATACCAAAGAGAGCCAGGCAAAAATCTTAAGTGAAGACACAACCAAGGTCAGATCCAGCAATTGTCAAGGTGTTCTCCTTATGCCACGAAGCAGCACAAGAGTGTAATAAGCGTCACTGCTGGAGATTGCATTCCTAGCAGGAAAGCAAACCCTTCTTCGGAAAGGAAAGGGCCTTTTCTTGTGAACGTCTCATGGCTGATCTTGGCCAGCACCTCCCATGGAACACAAGTCACTGGGGTTTCTAAAATAAGCGGGTTTCTGAATAAAATGAACGCAAGTCTCCAGAATTATTAACTGGGCAGAGGCCCAGATCCACAAAGGTACTGAGGCATCCCACTGATTCCATGTAAGTTGTGCCCAGGTACCTTTGAGGATCAGGGCCTGAAATCCTTATATTGACCGGAGTTCTCCTCAAGCCAAGAGCCGGTGCAAGCGCGTATGCCCCACTGCTGCCCAGGGCTTGCCCTTCAGCACAGGAATGGATTTCCTCCCTGCTGGTACCTCAGGGCATCCCTCCCTCCCCACCCACCGCCCTACCCGGACTTTGGTCTGGGACCACCCCGGGGCTGGGGCGGTCCAGCGCTCTTCACTGAGCTCACCTACGTGGCAAAGAACACATAGTGCCACAATGGTGGGCACTGGTCCATGAGGCTCTGAATGGAGACTTCTAGCCCCCCTCAGGTAGGACATCAAACAGCTGTCAAAGACCAGCTTCTTGCCATTCCCGGCATGGGCCGTGGGGCCAGCCACTCCAGACCAGCATGGTTATGGTGGCATTTCACCACACTCCTTCCCACAGGTGAAAACCCCCCGGGAGGCTCCCCCACCCGCCCTGAACATCATAATAAAATAAAATAATAATAATATATGGAGATATATCTATCTCCTAGAACTGGAAGGGACCCTGAAAGGTCATCGAGTCCAGCCCCCTGCCTTCACTAGCAGGACCAAGTACTGATTTTGCCCCAGATCCCTAAGTGGCCCCCTCAAGGATTGAACTCACAACCCTAGGTTTAGCAGGCCAATGCTCAAACCACTGAGCTATCCCTCCCCATGGGGAGAAGGAGGAGGAATCCCAAGTCATGGTCCTGACCCAGCCCATGTGTAGGAAGAGAATGAACTCCTCCCTTTGAACCCAGGAGATGGGATGAACCACCCTCTCCCCCAACGGCAATGTCCCCCCCAAACACGCACACAAAGCTCAGGTGGCATTTCGCAGACCACCCCGTGAGCTGCCTGCTGAATCGGTTTGGCAGAGGGACCTAGGGGCATCCACTGAAATGCAGCTCAAGGGGTCACCTGCTCTAGCAGACACCTTGACCCTGCGATGCAGCACTCAGGGGGCCATAAAGGACAAGGGGGCTCCATTAAGCAGCTCACTTGTCACCCAAATGAGTTAGACTGGGATTGCTCCTTGCGGGACGGGGGCGCTCAGGAAGCCCCCACCACACAGCTGGGAGCCAAGAACCTGTGACGGGTCCCACAAGCCAGGGGAACGTGGGCCGGTGCCCCTCGCGCTATCACCAGGTGCCACGCGACCCGACGGCAGGGCGACAAAGCTCCTTACCAGTAACCGTGTCCATCATAGACGCGATCAGGCTCTTCCACCAGCCTGTAAAGGGAAACATTTGCACAATCGACGTTATGACTCCACCTAGCAGAGGGCAAAAGAGAGGGCTAGTCACTCAGCTGGTCTAGAGCCCTCGGCCACTCCCTCCCCACTCAGCCCTTCTGTAAAGCCGAACAGACCTACGGACGAGAGAGGGGCCGGAGGGGTGCAGGGTGGGGGAAGAGGAGTGCCATGACAAATGCTATTACCAGTAAGTAATTCTTCCTTGCCCCTTCTCCTCTTCCTCCATCCCAGCCAGCAAAGCTAGAGGGGCCCACAGGACCGGGCAAAGGCAGCCTTCAGTGAGGAACTCAGGCCTACCACCAGGCAGAGGAGTTTCAGTGGCTGACGCTCCAGGCCCCTCCACCCAAGAGGACACCACGTTCTCAGTGTCCCTGGAAGGGGAGTCTGGGGATCTACGTTGGCTGGCTCGGAGCGTCCCGGGGTCAGGTTTCCTCAGTTTACCACTCCAAAAGGCATTTCCCTAAGCACCGCAAACATGCCCTGTGCACCTCCTGCAGGGTCCCCAAGAGTGAAGGCTCAATACGGCAGTTCCACCTGGGTGACCCTGTCTTCTTCCAATTCTACCACCCTGTTAACCCCACCACTGTGGAGCGGGATGCCGGCTCTTGGGCTCAGGTGTGGCCAAGAGCAGTATCTCTAAAGGCAACTCAAACGACCCTACCGCCGATGAACAGGCCAGACTAGGTTCCAGCACTCTCCCCGACAGCTCGGAAACGCTCGCAGGAAAACACAGGAGATACAACTTATTTTGGTCACTGAGGAGAGCAGTTGTGGTTACACAGGGATTGGGTCTGACGGGCACCATTCCTGCAGAGTCACTTTCAGAGTAGAAAGTAGTTTTAGGAAGCGGACAGAAAGGACCATCCACTTTTATGCAAAGGTGACATTCCTTGATCAAGTGGGCAAAGGTTCTGCTGCCTCAGGTCCCTCCCTTCGCTCCGGATGTCAGACAAATTGGTCTCTTCAGTTCTTGAAGACCTGGTTTTGGGTCACAAAGAACTCCAGGGGCGCTCGACAGCCAGGACAGCTTTCACCCAGAAGACGTGGCCAGATTCAAGGCTACATACTGACGAATAGGAAAGCGTGAATGAATAACCCTTCTGGACAGTGAGAGGGGAGATGAAAAGCTACCTTGTCCGGTAAGAAAGATCAACGTGTAACGATTCCATTGCATCTGCCTTCCGGGATTAAGAAAGAGCAATTGAAAGGCTGCTTTGAGGGCTAATTCTGACTTGCATTGAAGTCAATGGCTAAACTCCCACTAATATCAAAGGGACCAAGATAAAGCCCAAGGCCTGTAGCTCCAGGGAAACCAGCCCCATCAAGACAAGAGACCCCCCACCCCTGCAGCAGAGTTATGCTAGCAACAAAGAGTTTCTAGCGGATGGTCTGGAACAGAGATTCCTAGATTTTAAAGGCCACAAGGGGCCATGATGACCCTCTCGTCTGACCTCCTGAAGAGCACAGCACGGAGAACCTCACCCAGTGATCACTGCAGCAAGCCCATAACTTCGGACATGAAGGAATAAGCACAAGAAACTAAGGTCCAGCCAGGCTCAGGATCCCCACTAGCACGAATGGCTGCTGTTAACACCCCCACAAGGCTAGTCCATGAGGAGCCTGGTCTTAAGGAAACCCCACTGCACGTTGTGAGACGGGATTGGGGACCAGGAGCTCGGGCCTGTGCCAAGAAATCCCATCCTCACGCTGCCAGCCATCAGATTCCCTGAAGTGGAATGCTTGGGGGGGGGGGGGGGGGGGGGGGGGGGGGGGGGGGGGAGAGAAGAAGTGGGGGAGATCTTCCTGACTGACCTGACAAGTAGGCTCAGGGCCAGAAAATAGGGTTACCATATTTCAACAATCAAAAAAGAGGACACGGGGGGAGCCCCACCCTAGCCCCCATCCACTCCCTCCCACTTCCCACCCCCTGACTTCCCCCCTCAGAATCCCCAACCCACCCCGCTTCTTGTCCCCTGACTGCCCCCTCCTGAGAACCCCCCACCCTAACTGCCCCCCTAGGACCCTACCTGTCCCCTGACTGCCCATGGGTGGCAGGTTTGTAGAAATTTTGGTGGTGCCCAGAACCCCCCCCCCCCCACCTGCCTAAGGCTCTGGGAGGGGGGTTGGGTGGGGGGAGGAAGTCTGGGGTGCAGGTCCTGGGCTGGGGATTAGGGTGCAGGAGGGGTGCAGGGTGCAGGCTCTGGGATAGAGTTTGGGTGCTGTGTGCAGGCTCCAGGCTGGGGCAGGGGGTGGGTGTGCAGGAGGGGGTGAGGGGTGCAGGCTCTGCGATGGAGTTTGGGGGTGGGAGGCAGTGCAAAGGGAGGGAGTGCAGGCTTTGGGAGGGAGCTTGAGGGCAGGAGGGGTGTGTGGGAAGGGGGAGGGGGTTTGGGACGGAGTTTGGGGATAGGAGAGGGTGCAGGGGTGAGGGCTGTGGGTCTGAGGATGAGGGGTTCATGATGCAGGAGGGGGCTCAGGGATGGAGCAGAGGATTAGGGTGTGGGGGGATGAGGGCTGGGGCTGAGGGGTTTGGGGCATTGGAGAGGCTCAGGGCTAGGGTGGAAGGGCAGGGTAAGGGCAGCCTGTCTTCCCATTAGTGGATGGGGGGCACTAGAACCCGGGGGCAGCAGACAGCAGTTGCTGCATGGAGCAGGGTAGAAATGTGCACAAGCAGGCAGGGGAGAGGGGCCCACTGC